TCGCAATATTATTTCTCATTTGGGGTCGCAATGTCATCAGAAAGACAATGATTCTGAAGATATGAGCAATTCATCCTGTTCACAAGTGGTCAGTGTTAATCGTGTAAGGTTTGGTGTAGAAGCCACTTATCCACAGACTAGGGTGACTTCTCTCGCTTGGCCCTTCTGAGGATAGGCCAATTTCTACGCACCTGACCACATAGCTGTTGGAAAGCTGCTCATTCGGTACCGAAATGCATCAGTTGACTAACCTTCTATACTATCTAGATAGAGAAGGTAACTATCTTCCACAGTGTTGAGCCCCACCTGCGTCTGAACTACCGGATCCTCTCCGGCCGCGATTTTGTTTATAGTGGAATTTCTAACCACCCCTTTGAGGAACATTGCCTTCAGTAAGGGAAGCCGATAAGAGCACCATTGCTCTGCTCTAAGCACCCGCTAGAGGTCTCACCAGTGGGCCTCTACGATACCAATCCCATGTAGCACGCTACCGGTCTTGGAACTTTGCACTACCCCACTGGGGTCGCAATGTCATTTAACATTGAGGTTCTTTAGCGAGGGCACCTAGGCGTCACACGTTTAGATTCTCAAGTTAGGCGTGACTCACCTCCGCGCACGAAAAATCTGCTTCTTCCGTGAGGTTCGGTGTAGAAGTCTGCAAATCCACAGACTAATCGACAGCAGTGCTTAAGAGAGTTCACCACGCTCTCAAGGCTACACTATTATGCTTGCCTGGAAAACCCCTTCCATCTAAGGGTTAGGAAATTGAGGAGGATTGAGAAAAGGAAATGCCCGAGAACGCGAGGCTTACCTTTACATGTTGCACCCCTCGCCCCGTCTTGATGCACCTCCCTTTGGCACCGTAATCCTCAAAGTATTACGGTTCGCAACAGGCCATATGAACCCGCGAGGTGTCGATGTTTTTGAAAAAACAAACATTAGTAAATGTATCGGCTCGAATGCAGGGTCGCTGGATTCGAACCCGGGATCTTTACAGTGATGAGCGCCGTGACAAGCCTTAACTGTTTCGGCCACCAACTCCCAACTCCCTTAACTCACCCCTATTGGTAACCCATAAATGTTTTTATCAGTTTATAACTATTCTAAACGTATAATTTGTATAATATAATTATTTTATCGGTATTGTAATATATCTGCAAGTATATTTTGTATAATATATACAACCTTCGGACCTAACTACCGCAATCCGACTCTCTGGCACTAAAAATACAACAAAAAACATGATTTAAAAAAGTGGCAGCGATTGGCAGAGAAGCTATCACGTTCAAGAGTTTATAGGCGACTTCGGAGCATCTTAATCGAAAAAAACGATCGTATTCACCCGACTAAGAACAGATCATACTTGGTTGATACACGGACACTTGCTTTTGGTCCGATGCCTTGGTATGGGGGAAAGGTGTGCTTGATGTGTCTCACACAATTGACGTGTGTTATTCCGTGGTTCCATATAGGGCGTGAGTATGAATGCCCGCCGATTTGACCATTGTGCTGGAGCACGGCAGCGAGTCAAGTCTCCTGTCCGGATGATTTTGAAGGAAGCAGAAATATAAAGTATTCGGCAAATATCTCGTTTTGTGAATATTGAGAGTAAACGTATTTATTAGAGTGAATATGGGAAAACTACATTGTTCATCACCAGCTCTCTTTGTCTTTGTTGTTCTTGTCTTTCTCGCGTTTTAGTCGTAATATTTCTTTTCCAGGCAAATTCAGATCAGACAAATCCCTTTTCTTTATCCTATTGCAGCCCCTCTTTACCACAGGTCCTCTTCAATCATGGATAAAATAACACAAATATACATATAAACACAAACATGATAAAACAACCTGTTTAGCTATCACAATTCCCCAAAGTACTCGATTTCTTGAGGTTATTGGGGGTGAGCCCCTCTATTTACGCTAATAAATAGTGAACAGTTACCACACAATAAATGGTGTATGATTGAGATTTTCACAATCACATTCACATACCACAATTCATTCACACTACCCCAGAATATTCGATATTCCTCGGGGTAATTAGGAATAAGCCCCTTATATGTTTTTCAATTGTGAATTTTGTTTTACAAGTTTTATAGCTTGAATAAAATTAATATCTCAAAGTTCAACGCCTTATACGTTTTTCAAGTATAATGCTAGAAGCGATTGATGTTTAAATTTGTTGCTTTTGCTTCTTCGGAAATGTTTTCTTATTTTGAACTGGCACTGGGTCCGTGTTCACTAACGTGATGCGGAATTTTTATTTTTATTTTAAATTGGAGTTTTAAATACCTGCAACATGCTTTGATATTTTCTATGCAGGGATTGGCAGTTCACTACTGTTGAAATGGGGTGCGGTTAGGCTGTCTGGGATTCATGCTTATGTATTTACATGCTTCTTTGACGCTTATGATTATGAGGCTTCTTATTATGGCTTATATTATTTCTGGCTTCTGCTGTTTGTTTTCAGTTTATGCTTCTAATGTATTTTTGATATTTTTATGTTGGCTGTCTTGTCTTTCTTGTATAAGTTCTACTGTTTTACTCGTTGTCATGATGACTGTGGCGTTACGTTGCTTGCTGTATTGATAATCAGGTTCTTGTTTGTTAGTTTTTTCTTCATGTTTTTATTAGTTCCCTTTTAAATTTGTTCGTATTGTAAAGATGTTGTTGCTGCTTCTGATAATGTTGGAATGCTAGGAAGCATGGATTTTTACTTTCCAAGCCTTCTGGTTTATTATATTTTTTCTAGTTCTTTCGTTCAGTTCAATTGACTCGATCCTTTTGTAAGAAGTGTCATTGACTGTCATTGCTGCTCGTACTGGAGAGTGGTGTAATTGTTTTGTCTATTAATGTTATTATTTTGTTCGTTCTTGTATGTCCGTGGGTAGAAGCTGACATCTATTTCTAAGTCAGTTATGTCTTGAGTTATGATACGTTCTTCTTTAGTGGATTTTATGTTGTATTTTAATCTTTTTGTTGTAGGTTTGTTTGGTTAGTGTTGAAGTTTTTGTGTGATAGAGTTATGAAAGCGTTGGTTATTGGTGGGTTTGTGTTTTGAGAAATTTGTTAGTTTCTGTTTAAGAGATTTTTGTTGAGTTAATGTATTTATGTTGTTTTGAGTAGTTTTATTGTTATGAGATTGTTTCTGGAGGGTTAAGTAATCGACAGCTATGTGTAAGTCTAAGACCTCCGCGGGTGTAGACGGTCCCGCCGTCAACGGATTCCTTATTCGTTTAAGAAACTTTTCTTTCTTGCATTACCTAATTTTAATAACCAATATAAGTTTTATGTAAAGAAGAAGACGTTTCAGCTGAAAACCATTCTTTTCAAATAATTTCACAACAATTTGCTGTCTCAATAATATCTAGTTTGGTATAAACCACATTTTATGATATGGATAACCATTTTTTTTTTCAAAATTTTGCTTGAGTTTGACGAAGTGTAACGCTAAAGGTGGAGTCAACTGCCGGCCGCGACCCTGAGGCCCTGTGGTCATCATGATTGCGTCATGATCAGGACCAGCAAGTGCATTGCATTACGAAACGGTCAACAGTTTCTCTCCTTGTAATGCAAAATTTTATATACTTTTTTATCGGTTCATTTTTTATATTATCGGTAATACGAGGTGGTTTCGTAGCATATAATTTATGCCTTTTCTATTCAGTGAAGTTTTACGCCGTTGCTGACAGGTTTGTAATCCCCTCATAAAACAATTGGGCCGTTTGAATGCCTGACTATCCCTGTCACGGCTAAAAGCGAGGATCGACACGTTATTTAATGATCGTTTGGAAATCTCGGTCCCATTACGCATTAAAATCGGCCTTGAAGGGAATGAAATCGCAGCATGGGAAAAATTGGGCTTTTAGCCACTTGGAATTGATAGAAGAGTAATTTCAAGCGTCAAACTAAATCGATGGCTGAAATCTTCACCACGCCTGGATTAGTTTCCTTTCTGTCTTCAGATACAATGCCAAGGACGACAAAACGATTCAAAACAAATTTGGGTCAGGGTAAAACAAGCCAAAAACTAAATGGACGCCTATTCGTTATATTATGGGTTAATTATAATTGTAACGAAGTGACTGGCAGAACGGAAAAATAAAGCGGGCGATGACGCACAAGTGGGACTTCGCTGGACATATTTAAATTGATGATATAATCAAAATAACGTGTAAATAATAAAAGTACAAAAATAAAATACATCGACTAACAGTTACGCCCAAGGACATATATAATAGAGAAATAATAGAATATGTACAAAATACTTAAAACCACACAAACGAACTATTTCTTCATGCCTGCTGGATGATTAATCTGAATTTAGTCGTTATCGATCGTACACACTGAAGATGGGGAAATGCCAAGACGCGACTGACAGACCAACCCAGCGAGAATAAGCGGACCACGATGATCTGTTTAGAACAAATTTCAAATTATTTTTACACAAAATTCTGACACGGCAACGGACTGTACGCCAATCTGTTTTGAGATACTGGGTCTGAGAGGACTCAAAATTTATCCGCGATGTAATTTTTTTTTTTAAGGTAATACAAAATATATTTTTTATATTCAATCAAAGTATTTCTACTCAATACTTTGAATATAAAAAATATATTTTGCATTGTATACATTCACTTTTTTCACATCCAACATGTTTTTGTTAAATTTAAACAGTGTTTATAAATCCCAGGCCCTGAAGATGATCTCAATAAAGATCGAAACGTGGCACGATAAAGAAAATGTTTTCCTGAAACCTACATCACACCAGACCGCATCTCACGATTTCTGAATAATCATCGATTAACGGTCACTAATCACCACACATAATTGGGAAAATTTTGTAATATTAGAAAATGTATTATAATTGACTGTTAACTTAATATACTAAAAAATTAACAAAGGATTAAGTATGTATGTTTTAGTTAAAATAAGAGTTGCTAACGGAGGAAATATACAAAACAAATAGGAAATGTACAATATAAATACACAAAAAGTACACATATTTTAAAAATTTATGGTTTTTATTTAGTCCTTAAACTATGTACAAAAAGTAACAGATACATATGTAATACCATGGCAGTACTTAGTACTTAGGATTGAAAGTTTGATGAAATTGTGATGAGAACGATGGAGATGAAGATGGCAGTTTAGTTGATTACCATCCGTAGTGGGTTCCGTATCCGTCGAAGGAGAAGTGAGCGACGGCGGGGGCGGCGGAGTAAGCGACCTTAGCGACGGCGGGGGCGGCGTAGGCGTGGGCTACTGGAGCGGCGTGAGCGTAGGTGGCCACAGCGGGGGCGGCGTAAGTCTTAGCGTATGCCGGGGCGGCGTAGGTGGCGACAGCCGGGGCGTGGGCGTAGGCGGCTACGGGGGCGGCGTAAGTCTTGGCGTAGGTGGCTACGGGGGCGGCGTAAGTCTTGGCGTAAGTGGCGACCGCGGGAGCGTGGGCGTAGGTGGCGACGGCCGGGGCGGCGTAAGCCTTGGCGTAGGCGGGAGCGGCGTAGGCCAATGGGGCGGCGTGTGCGTAAGTGGCGACGGGGGCGGCGGCGTAGGTCTTAGCGTAGGCGGGGGCGGCGTACGCTACAGGGGCGGCATGGGCGTAGGTGGCGACGGGGGCGGCGGCGTAACCGACGGCGGCGGGGGCTCCGACGTATCCAGCGTTGGCGCAAGCCAAGGCGGCGGCAAGAACGATGAACTGAAAAAACATAACCATAAAACTTTGTTCACTTTCACTTTGATCAGCAGTATGAAATGGATCAGGATGGAAATAAGGGCGGGCCCTCTTTCAAAACTCAAAACGATCTTGCAACATTTGCCCTTTCCCAAGAACAAATGATCTTCAAAACACGTACCTCGTCGCGTATAAGTGACCCTAATCTTAGCTAATTACAGCACATACCAAAATGACATAGTCATTAGAAACCATCTAATGCAATCAAAACGCAATATTTAGACTTGCACATATATTGCTATATGCAATGTGAAATTAAAAACATCTAAATGGTAAGAATATAATTACATAATTTGAGAAGCATTAGCATATTAGGCATTACAGCATTAAGCAAATTAATCCAGCGAGATATGAAGAATAGATATCAAGATTTTTTTTAAATTTAAATGTTCATTAACTTTATCGTTCAGCATGTAGATTTAAGTAAATTGGACTAAGGCAAATCATGGAAGGTTCTAAACAAATTATATATAATATTTCAGGAAAAAACAAAACTGCTTCGAAAATTTAACTTTAGCAATCAAATATATTTTTCGTAAACCTTTATCCAGAAACAATAAACGAAAATAATTAGAAGTACGATTTCTTATAGTATATAAATCTGCAAAACCTAGCAATTTTGGCTAAAAGAGGGGTGAACATAAATGTTTTTAAAATATTTGTCTTTTTGTGATTTTAAACTGTGTAGGCGTTAGAAAGATTTGGGCGAGCAACTTACAAGTGAAAAAATTGACTAACAAATGAGATCATTTCATAATATGAATAATAAGTGATTAGAATAAATAGGTAGTGTTAGAATATTATTTTTTTATGGAGAAACTTTTTAGTTTAATGTTTTGATAGATGAATATTAATTACTGTGTAGGATAAAATAATATGTGACAAAACATGTGGCTGTAAAGTTTTGCTGTTTTTGTAATTGTACGTGTTTTTTAAAGTTTGGTGTATGTTTTTTGGCTGTTGCCCTCACCTTGTACATGTTGATTGTTAGACGTTGGATAGAAGTCTATGCCCTCCCTGTTACATGGCTTCACTTTTATAGTAAATGCGAGCCGGCCGAGTTTGGTAGGGGGGTTGAACCCTAAAAGGTTACGCAACTGTCAAATCTGTGTCAAATTATTCCCAGAAACGTCATCATCATCAACACTGGAGGGCAGACGCCAAGGGGTGGGGCGGGGCCCTTTCAAAACTTGAGAAAAGACGGCCGACGCCTTTTCATACTGGCTGATGAGGGATGTGGGAGAAGTTCACACGATCCGTGAAAGCAGTTCAGTTCATGTGCAGCCACTCATCCGAACACAGCTTCCTTCCTGTATTCATGATCGGCTCATGAGCAATTTTTACCTTCGCGCGGCCCCAATTCAATACCTCTTCGATTAGTCGTGGCGATTGTTTTAAACTTGTGAGTGTGCTTCGATATGATTCCTAGGACTTTGAAACTTTTCATTATTGGGGGAAAAATATATTAAAAGTATTCTTTCTTTGGACCAACCAAACTTCCTCAAGGCTCTCGGGAATTTTTCTTTATTCATCCTTCAAGATGCATCATGCTTCCATCATTTACATTCTCCCACACAATAAATATTAATGTTTATATATAAAAAACGCTCTAAAGTTTATTTTTTGAGCGACAAACACACAACTCTGATGAAAAAGTTAGTTTGAAATATTATTCTCCCCGATTTGACCGGATAATTTGAAAGACTAGAACGTGAGAGTAGAAAGGAAGTCGTGATAGATAAAGTTTTTTTTATGTGGAACTTGAAGTTTTCGGGCGAAATTTTTTGTTTTGATTTTATTTTGATTAAAAAAAGGTTATTCATCAATTTAACCTTCACTATTTAATTATTTTATAGAGAACTTGAAAAAAAATCAATGTTAAGAACAACTATTTTTAAGCATTAAAATCTTTTGTAAATATCGTTTTAAAAAATTAAAAAATAATACTTCAATATGGTGCTTATTTTTTATTCATTCTCCGACTTCTATCATTAAATAGTGCAATAAAAAAAATAAATGACGTGCTTGAATATAAGACAACGTATAAGCTCTCAGATGGATATTAAGTTCCATAAGGACAAAAGTCAAATATTTTTTAAGAAGTCAAGCATTTGTTTTTATGTTATTATGTTATTTTATGTTATAAGGTATAGCATCTATTTATTAGTACTTGTATCAGGTGATTTTTTGTTAGCATTGATTAAACTGAGAATGTCTATAAAATCGGCCGTTTTTAAATATCTAGGCATTAAAATCTTCCATAAAATCCTTTTAAAAATCGTCCAAGGTTCTGTACTATGCTTGTTTTTTATTTATTCTCTAACTTCTATAATCAAATGATATAATAATGAAATAAGTAGCGAGCTTCATTGTGAGACTTTACGCGTGAACGGTTCGATGCCCTAATGAACAAGGTTGTTGATGTCATGCGATTTCTTTTTTCTTTTTTTGATATGTTACTTTTAAAAAAATGTTTAGCATTTAATTATATACATATCATAACTTAATTTGGTCTACATCCCTGGCAAATCTCAAGATCAATCTGCGAAATTTTCCATTTTTAAAGATCTAGCCATTACAATCTTTTATAAAAATTATTTTAAGCAAATTGGTTAAAATTTATTTTTTCTTTTCTATTGCATTAATCAAATACATAATACAATAATATAATCGACAGCATATTTTTTCTGATTGCGGTATGAGCAAGGAATTCGAATGAAATTGTTAGTTACATTTTTTTTTAGTGTAACATGTTTTTTACATGCAGAGCTTAATTTTGTTTACAGCAATAGAAAAACACAAGAATTAACCTTCAAAATTAGCCATTTTATTAGATCTATACATTAAAATCTTTCATATAAAATTATTTTTAAAAAAGAAAAAATCTAGTGTTATTTTTGGTTTCTAATATGTCCAAATATTAACTTGCAAAATGTTCTGTTTAGGAGTTTCTATTACTATTTTTTGTTTTGTTTTTGTTTAGCATACAATGTTTTGATTTTAATTTACTTTATTAAAAATTAGCATTTATTTATTTATATAAGCACTCCTTAATTTTTTATAGTACTGGAAAAAAATCAAAATCAAGTTACAAAATCAACATTTTTTAAAGATCTGTGCATTAAAGTCCATTGCAATAATACTTTACACAAAAAAAAGGAAATAAATTCTTTAAACAGTAAATTCACTATTTTTCGTGGTCCGCTTGACCAATTAATATCATTCAATTAATTAAGGTTTTAAGTTGAGATAAAAAAGTCAGTTTCACGAACGGGATTCGAACCCACGACCAAGCCGAAGGTCGTGGGTTCGAATCCCACTCGTGGCACTACTTTTTTATCTCAACTTAAAACCTTAATTAATTGAATGATATTAATTGGTCATGCGGACCACGAAAAATAGTGAATTTAATGAATTAAAATGAAGTATACTTCACTAAAGCTCTACGTGGCCATTTCATTTGTCGCCGAGAATCAAATAGATTACACAACATTTGAAAAATGGCAAAAAGGAGGGAAAATTCAAAGGTGGGGTTGAGATGGGAAGTTGGTGTCCGAGTGGATCGAAGTCACGATAGCTCAAGTGGTAGAGGAGCGACGTATTTAGCCGAAGGTCGTGGGTTCGAATCCCGCTTGTGACAATGACTTTTTTATCCCAACTTAAAACCTTAATTTTTTTAAACAGTATTAAATTCAATCTGTAAACAGTGTGATAATAAAAATAAATAGCTCATCTATTTATTAAGAAACATAAAAACTTTGATTTTTTTTTAGTAATTACAAAATTATTATTATCAAATGATGCTCGAAGAAAGAATGAAATAGGATGTTTTAGGTTTTTGCAATTTTCGTTGTTTTCAACATTGATACTGATTTGTTGAATTGAATTGACATCAAAAATCTTTTGTATTATTCTCGATTTTTGGACTTTTTAATAATAAATCTTTAAGATATTTAAGGGACTATGAGGAAATATTGCTATTATATAGCTAACATGTATTCAGAAATTTGTTAACATGTTTTTAAAAAGATAGTTTCCACTCACAGTTAAGTTTGTATATAATGTTATTTTCAGTTCTCAATAGACTTTCCTGTTTAATTGGTAACGATTGGCACACAGGGGGAAAAATTAAACGTTCCACCCTTGGCATATATAATACCACTTACGCTAAGGACACAGTTGTCCGACAAATATGAAAATAGTTTGTAATTGAAGGCATTTATCAAATTAATTTATTTATTTCTTCATATCTCTTAAAATTCAGAATCTCTTAAAGTTGAATTCAACCGAACAACAGAAGATTTCGTCTGCACGTTAAGTGATAAATCACATAACATTCAAGTCAGAATGTTTGGACATAATTAATAAACAATTAATAGACAAAAATTAATAAACTTTTAATTTGAAACTATATACACAGTAAATAGTTTTTTGAAATCATAAAATTGTCCAACTTAAAATCAGACAACGGTTATTAATTCTCAAATTAAAAAGTTCTGAACAACATGGCGTCTATGATAAATGAATGATATGAATCAATTATAAATCAACAAATCGTTCTAGAATGTACGATTGCATGTAAAATATTGAGAGTCACGTAATTTTTGTTTAACAAGGACGTATTGCCATATAAAATTAATTTTAAGGTTTTAATTAGATTACAATTTTCACTAGGGACAGCTTCCCACAGCTCCATTTCGCCATTAGTGAAAAAGAAAGTTATGTAGGTCTGTTTTTTTATAGATCTAACAACAAAAAGCTGTAAAATTAAGGTAAATTATAATTAATTTCCCAAGATAAATAATTGTAAAGATTCTTTTTAGAAATTCTAGTTCAAAACGAAAGAAATTATTGTATTTTACAATATAAATATATAAATTTGAAATATTTTTTCGTAGTTTAAATATGAAAAATCAGACTTTATTTCAGTTTAACTATTCATTATAACAAATATTGTAACAAACATTGTACCTGCTGACTTAAATGTGTACCAAAACTAAATACTTTTTCTTTACATTTTATGACTGTTGATTTAATGTCATTACGAAAATGATGGGTAAAAGAAAAATAAATATGTTTTTAAGTAAATTAATAATTCATTTCCCCGTCTCCAAAACCCGACTTCCTGTTAAACTTATAGAAACGAATCTCCGTTATATATGTGCAGATTTGACATTTTAAACTTTCACCACAAAATTTCTTTATCGTTTTAACCTGTAGTTGTTCCGTTTTACATATTAAACCGTTTTTCATCTAGCTTGATGATCAATCGACAGTTATCTCTTAGAATTTTAGCACAAGTCTTAATTTACCAACTCTGTTCTGCATGGCTGGTTGAAACAGCAAGAGGTAGCCGTCCTTATTCTAGCTATTCTAGTTTCATGGCTTAATGCTTAATTCTCTCTCAAAGTGTGTGTGTGTGTGTGTGTGTGTGAGAGAGAGAGAGAGAGAGAGAGAGAGAGAGAGAGTGAGAGTGAGAGAGAGAGAGAGAGTGAGAGAGGGGGAGAGAGAGAGTTATAGGCCAATAAGCTTATTTAGCTCTGTCAGCAGTTCACCTAGGAAAAACCAATGTTATCTGTGTAACTGTAATATAAATGGTACAAGCAGGGCAAGTTACCTCTCTCTCTCTCTCGCTCGCTCTCTCTCTCTCGCTCTCTCTCTCTCTCTCTATCTCTTTCTCTCTCTCTCTCTCTCTCTATCTCTCTTATTCCCTCAAGCTCTCTTTCTTTCTCTCGCTCTATCTGTCTCTATTTATCTTTATATCTTTATTTAACTATGAAGTGAAGTTTTTCCGCAATATCTGATTAACGAGATATTTTTTTTGCAATATCTAACGTTTATCCAAACCGATTTGGTAATTTTCACCATTTTCAATAAAATCGAATGAACCTGATGAACCTGTAAATAAAAATGTAGGTTATCTTTAGAAAAACATATTTTTAATCTAAATATTTTTAAAAATGTAGGTTATCTTTAGAAAAACATATTTTTAATCTAAATATTTTTAATCTTAAAATATATAATTGCTA